ATAATTACATTACTACTTCAGTCAATGATTCTATAATGGCTAATGTTGGCTGAACTTAAAGCGAAATAACGATACCTATTGAAGGGAAGGTACCGTAGCACTAAAATTATAAAATCTACCACCGTAGCTCATGCAGTTTCCTTATTTGTCCTACTGCAATGCTATAGTCTGCTCGCTTTTACCGCTTACGTTGGCATTTAAAGCATAAAATATGGAATGGTTCTTGACCCTTCTATAAATACCTAAACTAAATACTATGATATACATTGCTGAGAAATAGTACGATAGTTGTCAGTTACAGTTTCTAAACGCGAGAGTCGCTGACGCATACAAATAGCATAAGTGTACCATTGCATCATATCATGTAATATCTGTAAAATGCTTTATTTTATATTATTTACAAGACCTAGTTATGGCAATCGCATATTTGCATTAAAGTAGTTTTTCTTGAAACGATTTTTCTGTATTAGCCTTAATAATTTACGCACCCGACAAAGCGTTCTTCAATCCATGTTGTGCATGTGTTGAAGCATCTTTATGGCAAATATAATACTAGAATAATTCTCGTAATTTCATTCTTTCTGGGAAATATAAAATACAGCTTACTATTTTCAATAATTTGAACTGCATATATGGACTAATGCAATTTTCCTATTCCTTTTCGTATAGTCATGTAAGCTCACTTCGTGAAAATCTTATGGTTGTCTACCGAAATGATGACACTAATTTAATGCAACTGTGTGCTGGATATATAATTAAATATATATTTGTGGAACATTGGCAGATGGTTCTTTTGATTATTCTTTTAGCAAAATCGATCGCTAGTTTCCTTATTTTTGGGTATCTAGGACCTGCATCACGGAATTTCGTAAAGCTTACAAAGATTTTATTGCAATGCAGTATATGGAGTTACTATTTTATATTTCTCTATGGAATCGTTTGCATATCGATGCTTCTAGCTACGATATGTTCTATGTGGAAAAGTAACGAAGAGTCATGCCGATTATTGCAAGTATATAAGCAACATGTCTTTTATAACAAAAAAATTTCATTGGAAAAATACTTCTTTGATGAATCTAAAAAGAAGCATAAAGGAGATTGCGCATCAGGTTGTTTTAATTTTGTGAAGATAATACTTTGTAGGTTATGGTGGCTTGTGAAGAGTTGGAAGTTGATGCAATTTGCTTTTAATGTAGCACAAATGCAAAGTTGCTACACCAGCAATATGTTTTGTTCTAATAAAGACAAATACACAAGCATCACACACTTAATTTCAATCCTGACATACATTTATTGCGTATATTCAGCCGCAATTATGGTATATATATGCATTTTACTTATTCTTTTATCCATCAAATTTCTGATACTAGATTTACTAACTAATATGCTTGTATTATCATGTATTTCTTACCTTATATATTACTGCAGCCAATATTTATATTCAGATAAGAATATTCGTCTATCAAATTGTATAATAAATAGTCTACAATATGTAAAAGATGAAACTCCTGACAATCACAATATATCACGTAAAAGTGGATCATTTCAAATTAAGTATGAAGCAACAGCAGAAAAAGTAAACGTCGACGTACCAGACATGTTAAAAAAATTAAGTCAAGACTTTAATAAGAAATTCGAGGACTTAATGAAAAATAATTTACTCATTACACCAACTTCAAATGCCTGCATGATGGTGAAGTATTCGGGTGAAGAAGCTAATCTAGATGGAACGAATAATTTTAAGGTGACTTTCAGTAGCTTCGATGAGGAGTTAGATGCATTGCGGACACCAATTGAAAATCTTTTACGCGATAATAGCGATAATTTAGTACGTTACAGCATATTTTTCGGTCAAAGCAATGAAACGTTTACCGTAATTCCTATATCACTTTTTGATTATTTGTATAATAATGAACCGAAAACTGCTTTACACCTTAAATTTATAATCTGCTATGTCATAATCGCTATAATGTCTATCATCTTAATTATTTTTTATACATCCACCAATACTACATATCCTAAAGGTGGTATAGCTCTTGCGTTAATTTTTATTTTGTTTTCTTTTCTTCGGCCACTGAATAACGATGATATCGAATCTTTTATCAGAGAGAAAATAATATCTTATAGAAATGGCTATACTTTTAACGATTCATATGCAATCAATTATAATAATAATGTAAGCATTCCAGTACGAATCATTATTGATTATGATAAAACAGAATTTTTGTATTGACCTCCTATAGAGGTATACAGTATTCTAGATGAACTAATACAAATGTGAATTGCAGCAATGTAGCAGTGAAGCAGCGGTTGGTATAAAACACATAAACAGGAACTGCTACTCCTTTACTTATTTTAAGACAAGTTTATCGAAATACAACCTTGTCCAGCTAAGTTTGTCATAGTTAATACGTTCGTTTTTCATTAGTGCCAAATTATATGCGTTAACTTCGTAAAGTACTCTATGTAATTATCTAAGGTTGCATAACATGTTACAAATTGAAACTCCAATTGTAGGTTTTAAGAGCTTTATTAGAAATGGTGAACTAAACCTGTATTTCAATTGACTGATAGGCCTATTCCTGTCTTAATATAGCAACTATTTTTGAAAATGATTAATTACAATAGTCATAGCAGTTAGGAAATAATCTTTCCATCTTTTTCATTTGTGGAACGATACTCGTATATACTGTATATATTTTGATTTACTGAGAGGCTTTTCCCAGTCATAAAACATAACGAACATTAAAAATAACTATAAAATTAACAACCAATATTAGGAAATAATCTCTTAACTCTTTTCGATTTTGCAGAATCAAACTATAACATTTACTTCAGAAATTTTGTAAAGCAATTTTTTATTATCTTCTTTAAATAAAATAGTTTGTCTTAGAATTTGGCCTCTCAATTGTAAAAATAAACATTGATAATTTCTTTCAGCTTGTCACTTTAGTAGCTTTAAAGACTTTAATGCGAATAGCGAGATTTTATCTTAATTGAAATTTCTTCCATGGTAATGTCTCTAAGTAATGATAACAATATTGCAAAGATATTCGTATTGGGAAAAATAGTAAATGATGTAGCAGCTGGATATCTTTCATTTGTAGATATACGCACATCAAATTACGATATCTTTCTACAAAACTGTAATCAATGAGATCATGACTGTAACATTATATGATTAGTTAACTAGAGTAGCCTGAACAGATATATGCTATCCACTTTGTAAGAACAAGAATCAGATAATTACTAGGTATGTGCATAGTAAGGTATGATATCAATGTGCTGAGCAATAAACATCTATCTACCTCATCCAGAGATTGGAAATCGTTAAACAATTCCACAGTCGATGATGTAGTAGATGCCTATGAAGTAAAAGTAATTATATCCATTCAATTATATATTCAATACCTACACTTTTTAGCTTTATTATAGCATAATTTCAGTTCATCTCATAGTGTCTATGGTGTAGACATAGTTCTAAAGAAACGATAAAGAGATATAATAACCAATAAGTTTACAAATAGACCGTCAGGTTACAGTGGCGAATTCATGAGACAGTTCGAGAAACGTCTAGCTACACGCTTAATATCGCACACACGATAGAATCATTATGAGTGCGCAACATTTCTTAGTACAAATATTAGATAAACTCCAACTACCGAGATGATAATGCCAATTGAGCTGCGTTCAAGGACTGATCAACTATGACCACATACAAATCACAGAACAGCCATTTACTTAATTACTTGTAATTGCAATATTCCATTTTTTTCCTTTTGGCCAAGTATGCGTGTAGATCTAGACTGACGTTTTACATGCGAAGACACAGATATAAGTTAAACATGAAGAGCGTAAGATATCAGTCAGAACTATAATTTTAAACCTGCTATTATCTTATTAAAGGATAAGCTATGATAATATTAGGGTAACCTTACGTTGGCCTAGTACCAAGTCAATCAGATAGTGTGCAGGTATACCAACACATGCTGCATCAAAATCTGGTCACTCTAGCTGCAGCCAGGTATATCAACAGCACAAAGTATACTCACGGACTTTTAAGAGGTAAACTTGCACAGAAGTTATAACCACGCAGAGTACTGTATACCATTAGATCTGCTAAAGAAATATGAAAAACTTGGTACAATTCTTGACTCAACAGCACCAGCATGTGACAAGATACAAACACTGTACCAGATAGTGGGTGGAATTCTACATTCAGTAATGTTACGTCTTTCAACGGTACATCTTTGGTTTTAAAGATAGCACTACATTTCATTTATACTTTTATTTAAATATCTAATGCGAAAATAATAATATTGCTATACAGTACTGGGGACTTCGAAGACTAATAGTCCGTAGTAGTAGATTGAAGTTAAATCTTGATTGTAACCCAGCCATCTTCGCTAAGTTTTGTTTAATTAGGTTAAATGTTTAAAAAAATAGACATTATACTATACTGTATACTGGACTATAAGATCGGTATTACGACGTGACTTGTAAAATAGTTTGGAGCGACCGTACATGGAATGGCGACTGATAGTTTGTATTCGAAATTTGAAAGAAATAGAATTATTCAATACTTCGATAAAAGTAATTAAAATATCAAAAGCCATTGCTCAAGGTTGTACTGATCTGTCTGTATGGACTTGGAGCCAAATTGAAGGCAACACAATACAGTATAGCTGAGAACGTCTTTCAATCATTTGAGAGGACTTGCCACGCCCATATAATAGTGGTCTATTATAAATTGTGCAGCACTGTTTCAGAACCGAACCTCTCTCTGACAGGTCTAGCAGCACAGTACTCGTTGCCCCTGGCAACATTAGCGGGAAAAATTAAACTTAATGTACGGTACAGCATTTATAAAGCGGCGCCCACCGCCAATTGCTCAACATTAGCGTGAAAGATTCGGCGGGAAAAATTAAACTTAATGTACGGTACAGTATTTATAAAGCGGCGCATGTGTGTCTTCACGCCAATTGCTCAATTTTCAAATAATGCTTTCCAAAAATTTACATCCAGTAATTCTGATTTTATGTCTTGCTAGCCCTCAAGTAAATGGCCCACCAGTTTCCTATTCTCCCAACGATATTGATAATAATTCATTAAGAGATTTGATATTAATTCAGACTCAGAAGATAATAAAGACAGAAAATATGTACGATAATTATGAGTGGTTCATATCGCAGATAACGACGTTACTTGCTACTAAGAAAATAGAAATGACGGAAAAAAAGTACGAAAATGATGGCCCGCTCACATCTAGGATAATCGAGTTACATGTAAAGATTCAATTTAACTCCAGTTCAGGCAATAACGTTGTTAAAAACATGACAGTATTTGTAGCTATAATGAGATATATTCCAACTGTATTATTATCTACTGCAAGTTTCATGGAATTTGATATGTTTCCAGCAATTAAAATGATACCGACAAGCATTAAATCAGATCGATTACGCCACTTAACAATTCAAAAAAAGCTTCCTTTACGTAATCTAAACGAAACCTATGGTCGTATATCTCACTTGGATTCCATTTGTGTCTTCGAAGATAATCTTTGTTACTTCTTCTCTATTAGCCAAACGGATGCTTCACCCTATGGATCATATACATCGTATGGAATAGAAAATAATCATTGGCAATCCGATAATAGTCAGTTCTTCAACCAAAAACCTAATTTAATATTTGAAAACATCCTAGTTTTGATAATAGCCTTTATGGTAGTGTACGCATTTTGGCAATATCTATTACCAGAGACGCCAATTCGAGAATAGTAAGTACCTAATAATTACAATATTACCGGTATCTATTTGCATTTATTCAGTAAATTACTTAAAAGAATAATTCGGGGAGCGAATTATTCTTGATGTAGAGATATATTTGTAGATTTTTGTGAAACCGCTATCCTGTAACATACAGCATATTTTTCAGTATAACTGTATAATTTCTTCCGTCAGGTTTATCCCCCTGACATTTAACCTACAGTGCGACACTAAATATACTAACGATCTCCCATCGCCAGGAGAAACAGAAACTCAACACTAGTCTCTCTTAGACATAACTGAACCCAAAATTAATTGAAAAGTCAGTTAATTTATAATAAATCGCTATAAGCATTAATGATCAGTTTATAGGTAATATTAGAAAACCGAGCCGTTATCTATTAAAAATATATAAAGCGTAATAGATAACGATATGTAAATATATTTTTAGATAAATTTTTTATGGAATCTATGTTACTACGATAGCTACGCAAAAGTTACTTCGTAACATAGTCATAATAATTCACGCACCCCACAAGGTCTTCTTTATTCATATTATGCATGTATTGAAAAATATTTGAAACAAATATAATACTAGAATCATTCTCGTAATTACATTCTTTCTAGGAAATATTAAAAAGCAGCTCTTTTTACTATTTCCAATAATTATAACGGTATACACGTATATGCACTGTTATAAATCGAAATACAAGTACTACTCATCCGTAACAAGAAAAAGTAAAACTATTATAGAAATCGCACATTATGAGTCCACTGTCAGGTTTGTCCTCTTTGATATTGATCTACAGTACGATTGTAAGTACTTACGATCTCCTATCATGAGGAGGAACAGTAATACCACCAGTCTCTTTTTAGATAAACTGAATCCGAACTTCATTGAAAAGTCAGTCAATTTATACAAATCTACATAAACATTAATTATCAGTTTATAGATAACGTCATACACCCATGCAGTTATCTATTAAAATATGTAAAACGTCGTGGATACATTAATATAAACATATTCTTAGATAAGTTATCTTAAAGAAATATGTTACAATAGCTATGCAAAAGTTACTCTGCAACATCACTGATGCAATTTTTATTTCTTTTTGGATAGTCATGAAGGCTCATCTCATGAAAAATATACGGCTATCTACAAGGATGATAACACTAGTTTCATGCATCTGAGCGGTGGATGGCTAATTAAATATGTATGTGTGATACACAGGAAAAAGATTTTTTTAATTTTTCTACCACTACTATTAATACCTATTTTGGCTATTTTTGGACCTTCCGTAAACCTTCCAGAGAATTCATTGTACATGGCTAAACATATATTTTACAGTTGTGCAATCTTATTGGTATTATGGTTTGCACATATGATGCTCTTTATATGTATAAATAACGAAAAATCACATCAATCATTTCAAGCATATGAGCTGAAACTTCTTCATAACAAACATGATAGAAATTGTGCATCAGGTTCTAATTTCGTACAGAAAGCCTGGTCGTTTTTGAAGAATTGGGGGTTGATACGATTTGCTTATAATGCAGCGGATATGCACGGAAGCTATTATCGCCATAAGTTAAATTCAAGTATAGACAAATACCCAATCATCAAACATATTATTTCAGTACTGATATTTTGCACTTACTGTTTTCCAGTTGCAATAGTTATATATATAAGCTATTTATTAACTTTATTATTATTCGCATATTTTCGACTAGATTTAATATATTTCTTAATAATACCGTGGATTTCTTACCTTATTTATAACTCAATTAAGACATATAACAAAAGGAATAGTCATTTATCAAATTGTATAATTAATAGAATAGATCAGCTCCGAGAAAATGAATTAAGTAAAAGAGGATGCTTTGACATTCCTTATGAAATAATCGGTAAGACTGTAAAAGTCGACGTGCCAAACGTATTATGTGAGTTAAGTCAAGACTACATTAAGAAATTCGAGGAGTTACATAAAAAGAACGTACTCATTACATCAACTTCAAAGGCCTATATGGGGATAAACTATTCGTTTGAAGGTGATGATATAAATGTGGCTTTTCATAGCTTCGGTGAAAAGTTTGATGCACTGCTAGCACGAGCTAAAGCTGCTTTACGCGAAGCCAGAAATAGTTTAGTAGATACGAATTATGAATTTCGCGATCAAAGGTATAGAATAATTCCTAAAACATGCTTAGATAAGTTGTATAATAATCACAATGAATCAAATATTGATATATACCAGGGCGGTTTTAAATTTAAATTATTTATCGGTTTAGCTAGTATATCAATCATCGGAATTATTTTTTGTCCATCCATAAATGGATATCATGTATTAATGATAACTTTAGCATTAACTTTATTTTGGTGTTTTTTTATACCGCCATCGAATAATGACAATATCCAAACTATTGTCAACTCAAATATAAAATATTGCGATTATAGAAAGGATCGTAATGTTAATAATTTTAATTTTAATTTTGACAATAACCAGCAAAAGCAACGTCTCCAAACTACAGTATAATTCGTTATCAGTAATGACCAAATAGAATTATTGCTTGAATAAGATAAAATTTATTTAATTAATTTTCGAAATATACTGCTCTTAGTAGTAGCTTTACTTCAATATTGAAGCAAAATTACCTACAAAATTTGTGTTATTGAAAAAATTATTGGTCATGATGGAACAGAATTACTGTATTAATTTCGAATAGATATTATTCTTACTAATAATTATTAATCATTCTTACAAATAAAAACATCATTTATGTTGTTGAGTCGATTTCAAAACTAAATGTTATGTTATTAAGTTCATATTTACAAAATATCAAAATTTAATTTCAAATTTTATTGCATTATGAATTTGTGATATGTAAAGGAGTAATTGTCATATTACTACTCAGCAATGGTTGATATAACTTTGATCTGTCCAGTAGCATTATTCTTCACATTAGGATATGTAGGGCAGATATTATAATTGCCGAATTATTATCAAAGACTGTAATAAGGTTTCATCGGTGAATGCATCATTGAAAAGTAGTATTCTAGAAGCATAGTTGTGAATATAGTAGTGCCCGGCTATTACCGGGATATATATAATGTCGAATGGTAATACTATCTGTTAATTATTAACAAATCGATACACTATCGTAAACCGTCAGCAAAGCGACGGGAGTTTGTACTAGTGATAATAAAATGTCTAGCAAAATACTCGGAGTGCGTAGTGTACTGCACTTCTTTTCCAGCGTAGATGATAATATATATATACAATATACGAGTATATAATTTAGACTGTCCTCTCTTTCTGTTGTCAGAGCTGTACTACTACTGTATCATCAATTGCGATAGATTGGCATTACTATTTTGCACATGGAAAGTTAAAATTTCATCAATTACTACATTTTTACGGAGTGTAAATCAGGCGTACGCCCAGTAAACACAAAGTCATAATCTGTATGGCGAAGCGTGGTAAGCAAAGGTAGATTCGACTAGTGCCCGTTTTTACAACGGGTATTACGAAGCTAGTGATATTCATAGTGACTAAGTCTTGATGTTTAATGACTAATTGATAATGATTATATTCATAATGACTAATCTTGATTGCTAATAGCAAATTTCAATAAAAATTATTTTTGGTAGCTAAATTATGACGATAAAAGGTTAACATCTTCACTTTCTACAGCGATAGATAGTATTCTAGATGGACTAATACAAAAAAAGAATGAATTGCAGCAATAGAGCAGCTGTAGGTGTAACATACATATACAGGAGCTGCTGTTGAGCCAAGTTTATTAAAAACACAACTTTATCCATCTAAGGTTAACATAATCAGTACCTTCATTACTGCAGTTAAAAATTGTATGCAATGACTTCATGTAGTACACTACGTACAGAGCAGCTGTAGATGTAACATACATATACAGGAGCTGCTGTTGCAATACTTATGTTGAGCTAAGTTTATTAAAAACACAACTTTATCCATCTAAGGTTAACATAGTCAGTACCTTCATTACTGCAGTTAAAAATTGCATGCAATGACTTCATGCAGTACACTATGTACAAAATTATCTAGGGTTGCATAATCTGTGTTGCAAACTTAACTTCCAGTTGCAGTTGTAGGAGCTATATTAGAAATGCTGAACGATACATGTATTTCAATTGGCTGACAGACTTATTCCTATCTTAAAATAGCGACTAATATTCAAAATAATTGCAATAGCCATAGCAATTAGAAAAATACCATTCATCTTCTTTTTCATTTGTAAAACGATACTCTCATATACTGTACTGTATGTACTCGTTTTTCATTTCACTGAAAGGCTTTTTTCCCAGCCATAAAACATAACAAAAACGTTGAAAATAACTATAATAGTAATAACTGATA